AAAAGCCAGAACCAACACACAAAACACACCACACAAACACAACAAAGCAAGTACTGTGGCGTTTTTCTGAGGAATAATACTTAAGTACTACTAAGTCATATTTTATTTCAAGAAAGAGCCACTTGCACCTCCCAGCCTCAGGCTTCTGTTTGGGCTGGGGACCCGAGCACAGCCCTTCTGGCTGCTTCATAGTAGCTGTGCTCTATGTAGGTCTTTGTAGCTGGGATTCCACCACCAGCCCATGGCACAGGCAGCGTGCCTGTCTGCTCTGCAATTGTTTGATAACTCCATGTAGCCAGCATTTCCCCTCAAGCCATAGATGTGGATCTTCAGTCCAAGAACTATCCATTCACCCACCTTCAGTTAACTGTGAAAATATGACTAAATGTCTTCCCCCCCCCCCCCCCGGTTTAAATAAGCAGTTTATGATTTGTGTTTGTGACCTTGGTCACCGTCAGAAGTCATACACAATCACAAGCAAACTCCTCAGCTGTCCTTTCAGGGTTGTCCCCATCATAGTACGACACAAAACTTTCTTCCAAGGCTTCAATGCGTTAAAAAGAGAGATCGCGAATATCTAAATACATCAAGGTCTTTCCCGCATTCTAGGCCTTGCTTACATCAACACTTGCAGAGAACACCCAAAGAATTTTAATCAACAGCCGGCAGATAGTTGAGCTGCATCCCTACATGCAGTTCCCTATGCCTGCAGGCATCCAACCATGCACGTTCCCAAAAGGTATGTCAACCCTAAGAATGAAGGGACCAAACTATGGAGTAAACCCACTCCAAAGCATGAAGGGAAGTTTGCTACAGCTGTTTCCAATGAAAGGATAAGGAGCAGCAGAAAGCAATGTTACCTCATTTATGTAATAAAACTGCCTGCGGTCTTCAGAATAGCCATAACAACAGCCATACCTAACAGACAGGTACCGTAGTAGCTGGACATAGCCCAACAGTGAAGAGGTGACTTGCAGTGGAACACCAGACTGCAAGAAAAAGTCTAATTTCTGCATCTTATTCCCCAGTTTTGAAGAAAGTATTCAGAAAGCATATAAGGGTAGCACACATTAATACATATAATACATATAAAATAAGACATTTTGCATTGCCACACCCACCACATTGTAACGCAGTCTGCTGCTTACAGGATTTGGGTACACAGCCCTCATTTTGACAGAGCTGCTGCTTTTGTTGACAGGAATCAACAACCTACCTCAGAAGTACATCCATTACAGGAAAAGCAGTGGGCTCCTCTCACATAAATACCATTTAAGAACCACAAGTCCTGTCAGCTGAAAATCCCAGCCTAGTCATCTGCTCCAGGCCAAACTAGACGGTTCACACCCCACTGCAAAACCATCCTAAGGGCCAGGGACAGGCAATCTATTTGTGGGCTGAACTCAGCAGTCTTGGCACACCTGGTAACACAGGAGTGTTACACTAAGTGCAAACACAACAGTGCCCACAGAAGGAGCTATCTTTAGTTTTCAGCACCAGCAGATTGACTCTTTTCAGCTTTTATGTGTTAGAACAGATTAGCCCACAACCAGCATCTGCCCTACTTCAGTTTTAGCTCCTCTGCATCTTACTCAAAAGCTGGTGACCACCCAGTCACTCCAGGCTAACCCAGAGTAAGCAGATGCCTTCTAGATAGCCTTGTCCAGTTTAATGCTTGGGGTTCATGTGACTGCACTCAGGAGAGGAGTCACGGGCTCCCCTTTGTACAAAGTACATACAAACAGAAGGGTGAGTAACTTTTAGTCGTTCAGGCTGCAGTATGTCCAGCCTCCTTTCATAAACCCTGCTGGTTTTCTGCTTCACCTTCCTCCAGCAAATAATCATGAGGATCTACTCATTAGAAGTGAAAACCATCAGTGTTTTTAAGTTAACTCTGCACTGCCCACAGTGCTGTGGACTACACAGTGATGTCAACAAAAATAAAGCACTCCTCAAGCAAACCCCTTACTTCCCACCTTATATCACTGGCTTTGCATCCCAGAAGCAGTAAAAGTACTTCAGTGCTGAGCAGTAAACAAAAGACATTGTCTTCAAGTGCTTTTAGAAGAAAAGGAGCTTTCCCAATCCCCAACAGAATTCACAGGCCATCCCACCTAGCACAACATTAGACACATGCTACCAAGAGTCACCGCTTGAATTTCTGACCCAGCTGTCACTGTCAAGATACTCAGCTAACTACTCTTTTCCTACAAGATTTCACTCCACTCGGCTGCAAAATGTTTCTTTATGGCCACCAGGCAGAAAATAACCCTGCAAATACTACTCTGCTATTTTCCCCCTACCAGCCCAGCCATTCTGTTTTGCTGCAGTCTTGCTGGCTATTAAGACCTGTTTCATCAAGAGAATGGATTTGGTCTTTGGTTAAAGAACCTTTCATTCATTTCAGAGGAACATGAAAAATCAAACAGTTAATCAAATCACCAATTTCCTACCACCCTCCAAAAAACATTGCATGAATTACAGTGTGAAGTACAGGTCACAGATCTCCAATTTCAGTAACGCTACAGCCGCTTTGAACTGCATGAACTTGACACCATATTGCTGCCTGGCAGAATGACTCACACGCAAGCTCAATTATAAAGCAAAAAGAAAGGGTTTGTGAATAGGTGTTAAGATATACAGACTCCAATCTGGTCTTGTAAGATCTTACATGCTGTATCTGAAAAGGGTCCCTGTTCAGACAATATATCCTTTTATTTCTTCCAGAACTTAACATTTCTTACAGGAACGGAAAATTTTATTTCATCAAAACAAATTAAACCACCCTAACGATACCATCTTCCCCCAGGTATCTATCTATTTGGTAATAACAAATTTTATTTAGCACAGGAAAGAAGGATTGATGGAAGCTATATTTTGCCGCTGAGTAAGTGTAACAGAAGCCAGCAAACACAATGCAGATTTACTTCAACATTTCTTTTTCAATCTCATAAATGCAAATGCTGACATCATCTAACCTGTTTTTTTTCCTGACTCATTCCTTGTAACATTTTGGATCTCACATGCCAGAAATTTCTCATTCATGCTCATTTCAGATGCCTTTAATTTATCACATGATTTTTCTCTGCTCTCAGGCTCTCTGCTGCTTGAATTGCTGTTGCACAGTGGTGCATGTTTTATCTTGGCTTTCTTCCTGTCGGGGATTTCCGTATTCTACTAAGACAGTTATTTTTGTGAAGCGTGACCCAATCACAGCAAGGAAGTGTGATGCTTGGTCTTGTCCTCTGAATGAAATTGAGAGAAAAGTGACAGTCCTGGCTATAACCACAAAATTAGAACTGCCAGCCTAATTGTGTGCATCCAGTGAGATAGCTGGTAAGGACAGGGCACAGAGTCAGAAATAAAAATCAGTTCGGTAATTACATCCTGAGATAAATCAGTCCTGAACAGTGACTGTACCTGCATCTCAGAGCAGCGAGAAGATACATGTATTCAGTCAACACTGCAAACTCACCAAGCATTTTGATCAGCTCTGTTCAAACTGCTGTGATTCTTAGGTCTTAAGTTGACCAGCTGGATGCCCCACGTCTGTCCAACCTCTAATACAGTGGAAACTCACCAATGCTCTCTTCTGCTAAAGAAATCATCAGATGGCCTATCATTACTGCAAAAACTTAGTGCTGTTTCATGTGCAGTTGTGCTCATATATTACACTAGTTTATTGTACTAGATTTTCTAACAGTTAAGTTAAACATTTAAGAATGTATTGGCAGTGAATTCAACTGGGCATCTTGGTTGTTGAACAGGCTAGTCTGTTGCAAAAGAAAAACAGAATTTTTGAAGCATCAACAATGAGCTGTGAAAAGCTCACTTGAAGACCTTATGTAGGCAAGACTCTTCCACCCCTACTGTAAGATTTAACCTGGGGCTAACACAGGGGATAGATACTCTCTTCCTGGCAAGCAGGCCTAACAGATCTTCCTCTCACATCTGCCCGCGATCACTAGTGAAATAGCAGTCAGAAGGTTACCTCTCTGAGGATCAGAGCCTAGGACAGCTCAGTCCTAGTGGTTTTGCATAAAACAGTCCTTCATAAATCCCCTGAAGGAGTATTTTGGGTAGAAATCCCCTCTGATTTTTCAGTCTCGCTGCCCCAAGCCAGCTTCATTGCCTGGGAGATATAGCAACCACGTAAGGCTCCTGGCTGCCGTCCTTCCTAGCAGACCCCACCTTTGTCTGCAGATGGGAGTCAAAGGGCTTCTTTGTGTCTTATCACAGATTTGCTTTCCTGTCTCCCCAACAGCCCTCCTGAGTCAATTCCACAGTTACACAGAGACTAATCTTCACAACAACCTATCTAACATAATGAATATAAGACAGCCATAAGTTCTTGGGGAGCAGACCAGCTCATGTCATTGTCATTAAATGCTGGGCTCATCATCAGTTCACATCTAAAGACATATGAGAGTATTTTGGAGTTGCATTCCTCCACACCACAAGCATACATGTAGCTGTTCTCAAAGCAAATGTAATCTCAATGACACCATGCTCTAATGCAACTATTTATACACATATATGAATGCCCAGTTTGTCACAGGCAGCACTATCAAGATTCTCTACTGCGCTCAGTGCTCATGGCAATGTATTTCTTAGCTGTTTCCCTTCTCCCTGTAAACACTCCCAACCACACAACTTACAACCTTGACTTTTAATGCCTCATTAGTAGAATTTCATTTCTTCCGGGAAGCAGCACACAGCTCTTGGGAAAACAAAGCCTTCCCTTCAGGGAAGATAGCTGAAAAACTCATCAAACAGGTACCAGAGTCATGACTAATCAAAAAAACACACATTCCCATTATGCAATTAAAATGATGAGGCTATTAGAAGGCCCAGAGTTATAATCCCGTGGTTGTGGTGTACAAACATGGCAAAGTAAGCTAACAGGTAGCATCCTGAGGCAAAGGAGGAGCAGGAACTTGAATCTGCAGAGCCTAACGTGTTGGCAGCACTGCACAGGAAGGTCAGGGTTCACTACTCACCGCAATAAAACAGACGCTTTGCTGCAGTGTGAATCACCTGCTCTGCATTGAAGTGTAGAACACTTCCAGGTGAGCATGCCCTCCTAGAGAGCTCTCTGGCAGGAAAGGAAGGGAGAGGAAGTAGTAATTTTCTGAAGCCACAAAACAAGTCACTGGAAGAGAAGATCTGCAACAAAATCATCACCGGTTTATTTTCAAATAAATTAAATGCATCAGTGTGCACCCTGCCAAGGCTCTCTGTGGCAAGCCATTGTGCCTGTCATAAACACTGCTGCCATGAATATGATGGAGCAGGTGCATCCTCCTGGGCAGACATATGAGGTCATTCTGAGTACAGGTTTTTACAAGTTCAGTTCTATCAACAAATGCACCTCTTCTGTCAGGTACCAGGAGATGCTTTGAAATGACTCATGCTGAAGTGCCAGTGAGACAGTGAGCGTACAGACACTGACAGCAACACCTGCACAATACCAGTCCCAAGACAAAACCTGCTTAAATGCAGCTGTTAGTAGAACAGAAGAAAATAAACAAGGTAGGATCATCTAGACAACCATCCCCTAGTCACTGAAGAAATGTGTATTGCAGGTGAGTACGGAGCCAGGATGGAAGACAGAGCACGGGCTACCTACTTCTCTAGCACATGCTACATGGGAAATGCACCCAGCAAAGTCTTCAGGCATTTAAGGTATCTGCGAAGACCATTTGTGTTGGCTTACTTGGATTATCATAGAATCATTTAGGCTGGAAAAGACCTTCAAGATCACCAAGTCCAACCACTTAACACTACCAAAGCAAAGACTAAACCATGTCCCTGAGAGCCATAACCACACACCTCTTAAATACTTCCAGAGATGGCAACTCCACCACTTCCCTGGGCAGCCTCTTGAGCAACATCTTTGTGGAAAGATTTCTCCTAAGATCCAATCTAAACTTCCTTGGTACATTTCTCTCAAGTCTCCCAATGATCCCCCATCCTGCCGAAATTTGGACAAGTAAGATACAGATAACTAGACATGAGTGCTCAGCATCTTTGTGGATGCTCACCAGGCATTGCACACAGTATGAAAGGATTGCCCAAGGGATCCTGCTCCATCAGCAGTGCCCCATCACAGAGTCAATCTCTGGACTTGGACTGCTCCAAGGCATTTCGGCTCTGGGGTCTCTTTGCAGCCTCTCCTTTTGCTCTTCCTTTCCCACAGGACTGGGCTGCAAGAGCCCAAATTGTGGCTGATCAAGGCTGTGTGCAAGCCAGAGCTTTTGCTGAGAAGCAGAGTATGATGATGGGCTGCTCTCTGCAAGAGGAGTGGCCACTCATGCAGCCACTACTGAAGTAAGCTTTTCATTTTTCCTTCTTCATTCCTACATACAAGCAAATCATGAAAGTTTCATAACCATATAGATAAATAAAGAAATCACTTTTTTTCCCCCTAAGCTAGGAAAAAGCTCATTAAAAGCATTTATATACTTAAATATTGCCTAGATGTAGCAAGTAATGCCACCAATACAGAAATCCAGTGCAAAATACCATGCACTAGTGCATATAGTTTGCTTTAACTTTTTTCTTTAAATGAAGAAGCAAACACAGCATGACTTGCTTCTCTATCTCTACAGTTACTCTGCCAAACAGTCAGGAAATTCCTAGAGAATACAACTGTTCTTTCCTCGTGTATTTTCAGTACCAGATGAACACAAGTTGCCAAGTTATCTTTTTCAGACAATAAGATGCAAAATCTCTAAGAAAAGAAAAAATAATCACAATATCCTAAGTTAACCAGATCTCCTATATCTCTCTGTTTACAGAAACCAAAAGCTGATGCACACTACATGCCAGATGCACGGAAGTAAGACCCATGTGATACATTGCAAAGCCATGATACACTGATGCACCTGTCCTACCCTGCCTACCTGCTCACCCAAACAAGGCACAGAAAGGCTCCTCAAACAGTCTACACTGCCGAGTAAACACTCATTGTCTTTTTCAGGATTTACTTTAAAAAAAAAACCCACCACACAATCCAACAGAGAAGCATCTCCTTCTTTCGTATGAGTAAGTTACAAAGCTATATGATCAAAGCAAAGAAGGTTTCAGTTGCTTGAAATGATGGCAATTAGGAAAACTCTTTAATCAATTTTTGCTCAAAGGGTCTGCAAGCCTGATTCCACTCTACTGTCACAACGGCCCTACTTTTTATAACAGTGCTCTTGACAATTATGTTTTATTACACAGGATCAGAGGCAGAGCAGAACAAGTGGTGAAACAAGCCTATCTGGCATAACTGGGGTTGCTCAACTAGGAACAGGATGTGGGAAACTTCAGAACAACACCTGCCATGACCCTCTCCAAGCAGGAAAAGCTATTTTCTAAGAGTGTCACGTGCTGGAGCAGCACGAGCTCTGTAAGAATTTCTAGGAGCACAAACCTTGCCTTTATGGTGTTCCAGTCCTCACCTGTTCAGTGCTACCACCTTACAGAATGCTACTGGTCCCTGCTAGATGACGACAGGCACTGACAGAAGATGCATCATGCCATACTTCTCACCTGACGTCTTGATGTCATGCTCCATCTCCTGTGCGTGAGAATTACTCGGCCTGACCTGAATGGGAAATCCCAGGGCACTCGGAACCCACAGCAGAGCAGAGCACAGCACCACTGGCATCAGACCTAACATTGTTTCTATGCTGGAAGCCATGCAGTGCTACAGGCACACAACCATCCAGAAAAGAACAAAGGAAAAAAACAGAAAACTGATTGTCAAGATGGGACCCAGGTAATATTTCATGGAACACTGTAGTAGTACTGCAGCAGCCTTCCAGAGGGCTATTCCTGACTGACTGCAGCAAAAGCTTTTATTTTTTTTCTTAAAATTAAAAAAAAAAAAAGAAAAAATACATCATTGAAACCAATTACTATATAAAAACTACTGCAGCTGGTAGTCACAAAACAGCTCACTTTAGGAAGGAGAATCTACTAGCTGGCAATTGCTGCTTTTCAGTGGTGTAGAAGCATTAATCCTTAAATCCAGCAGCTCACATTAACAGCAGCTAAGCTACAGAGAGACATAAAGGAAATAAGAACTACAACATCAATGTAATTTATAATGGGCTTTCCACTTGTATGAGCACTCAGAGGTGCTTTGTTAAACAAATATTTTTGTCTGTACTTAAAGTCTCTTGCTTTCTGTTTATTTCACAAATTCCTTGGGACCCACAACCGCCTTTCTGCCTGTGTTTGCACAGCTTTTACACCACAAGGCAACTGAATAAGGCTTCTGGGTACCGCTCTCTCCTAATTAATTACACTATAGCACTGGAAATACTATGGTGTTAGTACTTAGCATTTACAGAACATATATCTCCTTTAAATATACATACATACACACACAAAATTTAGAATGACAACAGTCATAAAGCTCACACTGACTACAAGCCCTTAAAAGTACGTTAATGTGAGTACAGTGCACAGATAGAAGTTCTTCAAATTGAAATTAACTGAGGATAAAGCCTGCTTAGATTGAACATAACATACGCACAGTGAACAACAGACTTCAAGATTTCAAGTCAGTCATTACAAACTTCCATAATATCATAGGCTGAGTTATTTTTGCCTTTTCTTACCAAGATGACAGTAGCATTTCCATTTTGCTACAGGGAGGCATGCTTAGCTTGTGACACTCAAGCTTGTCCCGACATCACTTTTAGTTTCAATTCCCCCAGCACTCATAGGAAGAACGTCCTCTTTGCTCCACCCAGTGCCTGCCAACCTCAGAAGAGGACTGGGAAACACGAACTCAAGCCGCTGTTTCACTTGTGCCGTTATTAAGCGAGTCTGTGCAACGTTAGGGCCAGCCGCATGGGCGGCGGTGACGCGGCCACGGGCTGGGTGGAAACCCCAAAGTACCTGGATGGACCAGAGCCAGCCCTTGGCGGGCTCACACAGCACTCCAGCCCGCTTTTACCTTCCGACCACTGCCGAAGGAGTCGGGCAATGTTTACCCGGCATTGCCACGCACTTGGAGGGGCTGCGAGGATGTGGACCACGCGTCTCCTGCGGGCGCACTCAGCACAACCAGGCAACCCGCGCAGAACCCAGCGGAGCAGGCAGCCGCCCATCCCGGCGCCCGGCCCAAGCCCCGCGGCCCGGCCTTCCTTCCCCACGTGCTCCACAGCGCTCGGGTTTTCAGCGCTGTAACACGCTGACACAAACGAAGGCAGTCCCCGACTAACAGGAAGGCACAGCACGTTAATACAGATCAACACGCCACACGCCATTATATACGTTATATTTACGCTAGGTACGGGCGCGCAGAGTTTTTGAGCGTCAGTATAACGCCGATAGCGCCGAAGGGAGCGGGCAATAAACGGGTTGGTTGAAAACAAGGACATTAATTACGTAAACCAACGTTCCTTACTGCCAGCACCGAAACGAGCCGCTACGTAGCCCTGCAACACGGGCTGAAGACAACCCAGCGCGGGCAGCAGCCCCACGGGTCCCAGAGCCACGGACCCCACAGGGACGATCCCACCCCGCGCAGCCGTGAGGAGGCGACCCACAGGAGCTGCAGCCCCGACCCTACCGTCTTTGCCAAGCCGCCCGCGGTGACACCAACACGGCCCGAACAGCCCCACCAGCAGCCCGCTGATCAACCAGCACCGCACACAGCTCCACAGAGGCGCCGCCGCCGCCGCCCCTTAAGCCGGGAGGCGGAGCGCACGTCAGCGGCCTCGGGCGGGGCCGAGCTGCCCCGCGCTTGCCCGCCGCCATCACCTGGCGCCGCGGTTCTCCTCCTCGAGATCCCTCGGGGCGGGACGGGGCAGCGCTGAGCCCTGCAGGCTGTGAGGGAGGAGCCCCGCGCTTGTCAGCCTAAGGGAATGTACGCTAATTAGAGGAAAGAAAGGCGATAATTCTGTGTTACAAGAAGTGGCACCGGTTTGTGTGTCTGAAGGGCTGCAACACACTCACCCGTGTACCGTTACAGAATCTGAGCAACTCCTCTGCCTTCCAGAAAGGAAGAATCGATTGAATGTATTTTTACCTCCTTCCTGCGTGCTGAAAAGCCCAGAGCCTTACCTTGGCCTTTCCATCTTATGTGGGGTCTGAACTTTCTCATCGGAGTTGAAAATACGTAGCAAAGTCCTGGAATAAAAAATCTTGCTAAAGAAAAATAATTACTATTAATTTGTCGTAAAGCAGAATACCCAACGACTTCAGCCAGATAGCCATAAGAACAAACCCATACAGAAAGGTGTAGAGATCAATAAGAACACAACGCATCCATAATAACAAAGTACAGAGGATTCCAGGAGTGATACACGAATGTGTAATTTTGCATGGACTAACTTGCAATTAAACAGATTTCTTCAGGGCTGCTTGGGATCATCTACTTTCCAGAAAGCAGAGCTTTTTATCCTCTAGTGTAACAAAAATGATTATCAGTCAGATCTATAAATCTCTCATAGTTATCTCTGCACATGTGTGAGACATGCGGCCGCTAATCCACATGATTTTTTCCACAAGGCTGTGGTGTGCAGGTGTGTATCTTCCACGAAAGAAAGGAGGTTGGAAGCCATCAGGACTTGCTGAGTCGGTGGTTTGCAGTGAGCAGCATAGCATACATATGGTGATCACAGAACCCTAATACAGCATCCTAGGAAAACTACGGGAAGAGAGGAAGACAAATAGGAAGAACACCAAAGTGTAGAAAGAGAAAACAAATACTCTGAGGAAAGGGATAGAAGAGGGAGACAAGCCTTGTAAAACTGTTGTAAACAGGGGAAGGTGATGATTTAGTTCTGTTGCCAGTTCAGAGTTTAAACAGAGAATTTGCCTACCTGTGTATTTGCAGTGAAGTTCTTGTGCTGCTTTTGTCCATTTTGTCACACTGGTGGCATTGTGTCACGACATGAAGCCCAGAAGTGCATTTCTACCAAGGTTTTTCCAAGTTTCTCAGGGTGCAGCTGTAGTGCTGGTGGGAACTGTGGAGGTTTGCTGCTGATGTTATCTGAGGTCTTCCTTTCTGCTCTTTGCGGAGCATTCCCAGGATGTGCAGAAGAAATGTTCTGCCTGAAATGCAATAAGAAGCTGCTCTCCAGCCAGGGGTGGTGCCAGACTGGTAATACAAACCTGCTGAAGTGGACAGTGTGAAGGGTGGGTCTTCTGTTCAAACTCTGGCGTGGGTTTCTTAGGCATTACTTCCAGGAACCACAAATAAATGATGGCAGCAGTTGTGTTACAGGTTGCGGTTTTAAAAAGTGCTTGGTGCTTTGGTTTTGTGAGAGGTGCAAGAATTAAGAGTGAGAAAAAGAAGGGAACTCTTCAAAAATGTCCTGTGACTGTGTTCTCTTGTGGGAATCATCCTGGATTTGGCAAGGTTGTTTGCACTAAAGCATGGAATGAACACATTTGCTGGCGTCCTGCTAATAATTTGTATCCCCTTACTGGCTATGTATAGCAGGAAGGGATTTAACATATGCAAAAACGTTCAGAAGAGTATGATACTCTTTTAGGCAGGCTGGATAGATGTCCTGAGATATACAGTTGTGCAGGAATTGCTTTGTTCTTTTGTGTGAGCACAGCTAAGGGAGAAGTTCTGGTGAAGAGAAAGAACAAGCAATTTATCAGTACACCAGAAATGTTAATGCCACAAGTATAGTAGCTTTAAACTTGATTTTCCAAGCGCAGTGCTCTCATGTTCAGTACTATCTGCTAAGTTTGCAGTCTCAGAAGTGCCTGCCTCGGAGAAACATTCTGCTTAAGCAAAATTGGGTCAGACAGAGGGGGGGGGGGGGCCCCGGGGGGAGAGGAGAGAGAAAGGTGTTAGTATTTACATGGAACATGAAAAAGGATCATTCATTTTGTTTCTTCCCCCCCCTCCCCCCCCTTAGATAATTCCCATTTTCTGTATTATATCTGTTATGAAGGCAGGTTAAAATGTGGCCTCCGTGTTTCTAGTGTGAGGAGGAAGAAAACTATCATGTGAGAAGAACAAATAATGGAAACTAAATGAAATGTATGCCGTCTTTTCAAGTCCAGCAAAGCAAAATGCTCCATTAAAAACTGAAAACCATCAGAAAGATCAGAAAGAGCTACAGTGAAACAAACAACAGCATTCTTAAGGGCACTCCTCCTTTATGTATTATTTAGCAGCAGAGGAATGCAGACTCTGCTTTCCCTTCTCCCTTCTAACTTTGTTTCTTACAAGGTGTTTGCTGTTTCCTTGTTTTATTTCTGGGCTATTTGGGTTCTGTCTACTTTTGCTTTTCTAGGCCAGATTTAACAGAATAATATGGAGTCACAATCTTTATGTGCACAGATCCCCCAGACTGACAAAGTCAGCATCTAGGGCTTGAATAGTAGAATATACAGCTTTCAGATTCTGCTTGATACTTAGGATTATTTCAGATGGTGACAGTGTTATCTTTTTATTTCCCAGTTTCCTCTCCTGCTTCTGGCTCTTTGTACTGAGATGCAAGTCACAAGGCTGCGTTGCTGCCTGCCCTATTTTCCCTGCCTACTCTAGGGACTTCTGGTCCCTTGGCCCTCTGTAGTCAAGGCAGATATCAGTATCTCTACAGAGCTTAGATTCAGTGAGATTTGTCCTCTGAAAACGGCTGTGCTTCCAGTACCTGCAAGCCAGCCACGGTCAAGTGTAAGCCTTGAGTGGGAGGCATCTGGGTCAGACTGCCTAAGGATGGCAGTTTTGTCTTCTGATTTGAATAGTCTTGGCCATGAGCTGGCATTTAGTTAGTGCAAAGATGTGCCATGGCACATAGTCTGCAGATGTGGGCTACTCTTTGCTCCCCACCATTGTCCTGATGCACTGGGACAAACAGGTGGAATAAGCACAAACTTGCAGTATTCCCAGTCCAAATACTCTCAGTTAATATGTCAAATTGGTTTTTCTTTTGATGCAAAGAAACCCATGAAATTTTTCATGTGCAATTTATTCCAAATCTGAAAAAACATGAAAAAATTAACCAGCCATTATCAGTTCTGGAGAGGAACCTGCAGTAAGCAGATTGCATTTGTGTGTTGCTAAATGAGCATCTGTTTCATTTGGCAGATTGACTCACAATTTTCACCACTCTTCTGAAGCCTCTGGGACTCTTCAGAGCCAGAGGGACAGGTGGGGCTGGCCTAGGGCAGCAACTTCTGCAGTGGCTTTCCTGATAGTGTCCATGCAATTATTTGTTAAGACACCTTTTTGTTGCCTGCAGGCAAAAGGTAGCCGGGAGCAGTAGGAAGCAGGGAGAGCCTGGAGCAGAGTCGAAGCCAGGAGGGACAAATTTTTTTGAGAGGTTTGAGAGGTTTGGGTTGATACTTTTTATCTGAGATGAATGCAGACAGGAGGGGTGGAGTTGACAGTAGATATTTTAAGAGGAGCAAGGGGAAGAAAACGAGTTGCGAGTTAGGTGATAAGCAGCAGCAGCAATGTAATGAGGAGAAGCAGGTTGGGAAAGATTGGGATTTACTGGGGCTGGCATTATTGGCAGAATGGTAGTGTTAATGGGGAGGGAAGCGCTTTTCATAACAGCTGGAGGGTGTGCACTTATTCTAATCAGATGGAGAGAGGAAAGAACATTTCCCATTGGTACTCTGGCAGCAAAGGACCAGGTCTCTGGTCTGTGTTAATGATCTGGCAGATGAGCAGATTGACACGCGTCAGCTAAGTTGCATTTCTCTGGCATTGGTTCATGTCAATTCTGTGTTGTAATGTCTAGTTTAGTAAGAAAGAAAGAGGTAAGCTAAATGCTAACGGTATGTGATTGTACAGTATGTTATGGTACAGTATGAGGCTTACCTGACAAGGTTTTGGTTGTTGGGCCTGTGGGGGTGGCCTCTGTGAGAAGAGCCCAGCACTGTCTCATGTCAGAGTAGAGGCAGCTCCAGCTTCTCCAAAAAGGGCCCGCTGGTGGCCAGAGCTGAGCCATGAATGATGCTGGTGGGCCTCAGAGAGAAAAGATTTAAGAAAAGGGAAAACTGCTGATCAATAGCATCTGGGAGAGAAGGGTGAGGAATGAGAGAGAAGCAGCCATACAGGCACCGAGATCAGTGCAGAAGGAAGGCAGGAGCTGTTCTGAGTGCAGAGCAGAAGTTCCCTGCAGCCCAGGAGAGGCTCGTGCTGGAGCAGGCTGTTCCCCTGCAGCCCATGGGCACCACACAGCAGGTCTCCACGTGCAGCTGTGGAGGAGCCCACGGTGGGGCAGGAGGTGTGGAGAGCTGGATTTCAGTACCCCGTTGCAGCAGAATATTCTCTAGTCCACGTGGATGAAATCTACTGAGCCATGGCACCCAGAGATGATCCATCAGAATCCTTCTGGACTCTATTTTAGGTCTATCTCAGCTGACCTAGTTCAGTCTTTCAGTAGTGAGCCCCATGTATTGGTTTCCTCCTGCTGCTATTTGTTTTGCAAATTTACAGTGAAGGAGAAGCACACTTTGCACTGCTTTGCACTAATCTGTGTACGCTGGTCCCTGTGAAATGATCCAGTATGGGGGGATTTGAAACCCAGCAGAGCCCAGAGATGAACTTCCTGTCCACAACGGATGCTTTTGGCTGCTTTTAGCATATTTGAATTTTCTTGTGTATTGGGCTACCCCATGCTATTGTATACTTATTGCAAGGAAGTGTCCCCCGAGGACCTGAAGCAACACAGATCCACTGCTGTAGCTGTTTTCTGCATGAGCAGGTCCTGTGGTGAGCATCAACACCCTGTCTGCTCTTAGTGGCTTCACAGGGGCTTTATTCAATGTGTTGCATGGCC